GTGTGTGTGTGTGTGTGTGTGTGTGTGTGTGTGTGTGTGTGTGTGTGTGTGTGTGTGTGTGTGTGTGTGAGATGAGTCCACAGAGTCACCCAGCCCTTCCCCCACATACGCATATCATCCACCCAGAGCCATTCTATCTGTATGGAAATTTGGGCTCCACAGCTGGAATCCCACAAAGCACTGTCATCTACTAATAGTTATTATCTCTTTGGCCTGCTCCCTCACAAAAACCCTGCAATACAAGCACATTGCATCTTTATGGTAATGCCCTACAATACAGCCCCAAGCTATGGTGCATAGACCTTTGTTATCATTACGATAATTCCCATTCTCACTTGACTCCTCATTACACCATTGAAACTGCTCGGGGTTGGATATAGACAAATTCCTGCATCTTTCTTTATTACACTGTAGCATACAGTGTTGATACACAAAACTTAAACTCTCTAAATCCTCGGTAAACATAGTGAGTCAGTCAGTGTAATGACAATTAACTGTAAGAGTCATCGTGAATTAGCAGAGGCCTGTATGCTGCGTTTATTTCTTGTAGATAGGGTTTAATAATAAGTCAGTATCATCATATATTGACTTTTGGTGTAATCATATCGTGACGATATGATTACACCATGTTGTTTTTACCAGACTGTGTTGTCCTTGTTCATATTTTCAAGCAAATTGCATTAAGAATGAAGTTAAAGTCTGACCAAAATTTTTTATTGAGGTGTTTATTTTACATTTGTGAAGAGTTTTGTCTCATGTAACTCGATGTGAACCAGAGTTCACTGCATCGACATCAGAAAAATATTATCATTGTGATATTGATCTCAGCTATTTTGCCCAGGCATTGTAGCAGATAGTCCTTGAAGATCTCAGATTAAAGTTCAATAGTTTTATGATAATTTGATTATTTCTTTTAAGACGGGGAGAAAAAAATCTTTCCTCAGGCCATCAGGGTGGTGAACTATCCTCTGACCTCTGTATATCTTTGGTCATGTACACATTGTTGTCAGCTGATCCTTTGCACTGCCCCTTTTACACTTTTGACATATATACATTTTACTTTCTTTTTTTTTTCTTTTTTTCTTTTACATGTATTTTATGTTGAATTTTTATCCCTTCAATTTTTTTTCTGATCCTTATGTTTCACACTTGTCTTCTATCACAACTTTCACTAAGCATGTGACTTGTGTACGTGACAAAACCTTTTAGTCCTTCATGAAAAATTTCACCATCCTCATATTCTCTGATGGGTTCACAGTGAAAAAAAGGGGGCGACTTTGCTAGTGGTTTTCTGGTCAGGTTTTCGGCAGTGGAATCAACAGAGGAGCAGGTGATTTACTATACATTTCTGCCATGATGAGTTTGGGGTCAGCTCGATATAAGAAGCAAAGTACAGGGAGACATGGACCTCGCCGTGGCTGCTCGTGTCCTTGTGTCTCTCCATGAATGCCCTCACAAGGCCTCTGGATTGCACAAAAAAGTAATTGCGGAGTGATTGGCACAGCTTGTCCCGTGCAGCCTGTGTCCCCGCACTTGAAGGCTCTCCTCGGAGCACCCTCATTGTCACACAGCCTTTTAGCACCTTTGTTCCTCCCTTCCCCTAGGACCTCACAGCTCACCATTGGCAGATGAGTCCCTGTCTGTGACAAAAGGGTCCCTGCGCTCAGCCTCATTTGATGCAGTGATGAACTCCCCCAACTCTCCCCCCTTCACTCACACTCACTCACGCAAACACACACTCACACAAACACACACATATTGCACACCACCTCCTGCGAGAAGAAATGTTCCGTTTAGCGGTGGAGGATGTGGGGGTCAGGACCCAGGGGTGGGCTTTTAGGAGACAAATAAACATCAGAGCAGGAGAGGAGTGATGTCTTGTTTACACATTAGCAACCATTTAGCAAGTCTCACTGTTTTCACTGCGTCTCTCCGGTGGCCTCTCAAACAGCTGATCTTTCTCTTTTGTTGTCCTTTCAGCTCAGGATCCATCCAGGATCAACACCGTCGTCAACGGTGAGTGATCTGAACAGTCTTAGTTGATCTCGATTGGGATCTGTGCCGTTAGAGCTGGCAATAAATCATGTATTAAATCAAGTTTCTAATAAATGACTGTGACTCACCCACTCATAGAGAGCATACACCAGAAATAATTCAGAATAATTAGCCAGCAGCTCTTTTTTTCCCCACTGATTGTCATCAAACAGTCTCCCCGTATTTGGCTCTGCTCTTACTCATCTACTGTTAATTTTTGTGACACCCAAACACACACTCACACACAGACACACAAACTGCATCTTTCTCATACCATCTAATGAGGTGATGACCAACCACTTGTTATAATTGCTTCAGTCTCCTTTTAATTTTCAAGCTTATTAATCATATGTAGAGTTATTTAAGAATGCATAAATTAATCTTAGATTAAAAAGCCTATCAAAGCCTCAAAACAATTAAAGAGTAAGGTAAGATTTCCCCTGGGCTGGCACTTTTATTTTAATAGAGTGTTCAGGTGATTATCATACTTTGATGCAGCACTGTGATTAATGCAGACACACTTTTAAATGAGCTGTTCTCTCTTGCACAAAAAGGTAGAGTGTGTATGAGCCTGATAATGACCTCACTGACTTTTTGGGTACTTTTCCCATTTCCTTGCCCAGATTTGGTGGAATCAGCCTCATCACACACCACTTCCTGCAGTGAAGGAGTCTGTGGATGTTCCATTTAGTTTGACAATAAGGATGGCATATACATTTATAGCGCTGATGGGATGTGGTTACAATTTTTAAAGGATTATTTGCAGTCTGTTAGAATTTCGAACAGACGTTTTTAATTAATTTAATTTCAGGTGGAATTGTTTACACTGGCAATAAAATTTTGAATTTATCTGATAGTAACAGACTTTTAATTAAGACGTTTGTGTTGATGACGAGGTTTAAGAGGCTATACCCGTTGAATAATCAATAAATAGACAGATGGAGGAGATTGCTGTTTCATTAGAATTTGGTAGCTCTTTTGACGTGAGGAGACGCCTCAAGTTGGACCAGGGACCTTCTCTCTCTAATAGAATAAAATAAAAAAGATTGATGCTGCATGTTTTTTGGCATTGATCTCAGTTATTATAGATCCTGTGTCTTTAATTCCAGAGAATAGAGAGAATAGATTAGGGACTGCAGAATGATAATTATAACGGGACGAAATTGAATTAAAGAAAATTACAATGTTAGCTGTGAAGTCGGTCTTAAGTTATAGTCTTATGTCAGTTTTATGTAAATATTTGCCATTTTTATTTATATGATAAAAACATGAATAAAATACATTTGAAATTATAGAATTTAATATTAGTCATTTGCAGTTTTGATGTGCATTTGGCAGCTGTTCTAAGATATTGACTCCATAACAGTTTATTGTTATTATTATAATAATAATTATTATTATTATTATTGTTATTATTATTATGGTATTCGTATTATTTTTATAAGGGTATTATTATTTCGGAAGTAGTCGCCAAATGCATATGGATGCTGCCTATATTCAAATCAACATTGCTTTGCAATAATTATGGACAAACTGATATTGCTGCACCGCTCTGTCCCTCTGGAGTCAATAGGACCAACAGGAGCGTGTCCTGTTACCTTCATCAATATTACATCAGTGCACGGCGCCGCGCGTGTGCCACATGTAAATGATTAACCCAAACCTTTATTGACTTTAAAAAGTTGAATGCATGTTATGGTGAAGAAGGGAGAGAACGGAGGAGGTTGGGGGGGGGGCGACTAAGCGCAGATCACAGAGAGTGACCTTTGGAGCAGCTGGTTATTGTCAAAACGCGTGTAGGCGAGGTGTAGCTTGTACACAGTGAATCCGTGGGAACCCAGCACATGATGCAGGCCTGCACGTCCTGACTCCATACACACAACAATGTGTCGGTGGGTCCCTGCTGTTTTTAGCGGAAAGCCAAATCCCACTGCAGCCTCCTCCATTCATAATGTCAATAACATTGAGGGTTTTTTTTAAAAAGGAAAGTGCAAAAGAATTAATTAAACGCATTATGGTCGACACAATAGGCTACAGAGTAATGAAAGATTAATGTGGATGTTTTCTTTTTTTTAATCGAGAATTTATTTAAACACAGGCGCCTATAGGCTGCACTGAATCAAATGTTTAGTAGCTGTTTTTTATTTAATGATTTAACATTCTCCTTTTTGCAGACAGCACCTTCTCCACATGTGTAGACCTGCAGGCTGCCATAAGACCAAACACTCACACCATCTTCATTGGTCATGAATCCATAGTTAATGCAGACCGCCTGTGTGAGTGGGAGTGCCTTGCCATAAGTTTTGCCGTCACTTGATTACTGTCGGTGTCGTAGAGGGGGCTGTACTACAGTCTGCAGGCCATGTGGCCACTGATGCTGCTGCTGCTGGTGCAACACTAACCCTCCGCAAACACCGACAGCGGAGCAGAGAGAGAGAGAGAGAGAGAGAGAGAAGGAGGAGAGGAGAGGAGAGGACAGTGAGCAGGAAGGAGGCGGCGCTGCACCGACAACTGCGTCCCACTCCTAAAGCAAACATCTTTACATCCTCCAACACAGACTTCTTATCGCTCCGACATTCATTTGATCACAGCTTTGTCGTTCACGACGGAGGGGAGCCGCGCGAGCATTGAAGGTGAGGCTTAGAAACTGATCCAGACAGCATTTAACGCTCCCTGTTTTGGGCTCTTTTTTTAAAGTGTCATTTATTACAGCGGGGTTTTTTACGCACAGTCTGTTGAAGTCATGAAATAATTTCAAATTTAAACCTGCAGACAGTTGTGTGTTTACAGTTTCAACAAAAGCTGAAGTTGCAGGCAAATAAAATGAAGTGGACTTTTAAGTGGATGCAGGTTGATATAGCCTACCATTTACCTCTCTGCATTATGTCATAAACATATTCCTTAGTAAGGATTTGTCTCTAAAATACACCACTGAGTTCATACAACTTCATGAAAACACAGGCCTGTTACTGCCTTGGCCTCTCTGTTTAGCACTTTGAACTACTATGACATAATGGACTTAAATGGCGTAGCTATTAAATACTTATTATAAAGTTCTGCTTGAGGCTGTTATTAGGCCCCACTGACAAAAACTCACATGTTCACGTCAAACGTCGTCTCTGCAGCCTCCAGGCCTCCAAGGATGGACTCCATACCAGCGGGGCGAGACTCCAGCTCCTCGCCAAGCTCCAAACAAGAACTTTCCTACCCGAGCACAACCAACCTGAAGCCCAACCAGGTCGGAGAGACGGTGCTGTACGGAATACCCATCGTGTCGTTGGTGATAGATGGCCAGGAGAGACTTTGCCTTGCACAGATATCTAACACCTTGTTGAAGAATTACAGCTACAACGAGATACACAACCGGCGTGTGGCGCTGGGAATCACCTGCGTCCAGTGTACCCCTGTCCAGCTGGAGATCCTGCGGAGAGCCGGGGCGATGCCAATCTCCTCCAGGCGCTGCGGGATGATCACTAAACGCGAGGCCGAGAGACTTTGTAAGTCGTTTCTAGGAGCTCATTCGCCTCCTAAACTTCCAGAAAATTTTGCCTTTGACGTGTCCCACGAGTGCGCCTGGGGGAGTCGAGGCAGCTTCATCCCGGCCAGATACAACAGCTCCAGGGCCAAGTGCATCAAGTGCTCCTATTGCAACATGTATTTCTCTCCAAATAAATTCATATTTCACTCTCATCGCACGCCGGAGTCCAAGTACACGCAGCCGGATGCAGCAAATTTTAATTCTTGGAGGCGGCATCTGAAATTAACAGATAAAAACAGCCAGACTGAGATATTACACGCTTGGGAAGATGTGAAGGCCATGTTCAACGGGGGCAGTCGTAAGAGGACGCTGCCAGGCAGTGGGTCAGACTCCAGCTCCCCATTAAAATCACAAGGACCCATCCGTCCCCGAGACTCACCCGAGATACCTGCAAAAATCCTCAGCTGCGAGGACAACCGCGGCGGCATGACGAGCACTCGCAGCTACCCGGTCATCCCGGTGCCCAGTAAAGGCTTTGGGATGCTGCAAAAGATCCCACCGCCGCTCTTCCCACATCCTTACGGGTTCCCAGCTTTCGGCCTGTGCCAGAAGAAAGAAGACAGTATAATGGGGGAGCAAAGCAAGGCGGGCCTCCCAGGTGTCCTGTGGCCTGGTACCAAGGACAGCGCCTATCACTCCTTCCCCATGTTCTGGCCCGCGGCGGGCGCGCTGCCCATGCCGCCGTACCCCCAGACTCAGCACAAGCCCACACCAGAGCTGCTGTGTCCTCCCAGACAGACTGACATGGACATATCCGAGCACAGTGACCGGAGCACCAACACGTCCAAAGACAGCATGGTTGAAAACGACCGGTGCTCCAGCACACAGTCCGCCCGTAATGAGGACGACAAGTCGGGGGACGAGGCGAGGCCGTTGGAGGGGATGACGCTCGTGCCCCGGAAAATCAGCTACGTCTCCGCGTTCAGACCCGTTATTAAAGACGCTGACTGTATCGCCAAGCTGTACGGCAACAGGAGCGCTTACAACGGGTGTCGCACCGGCTATTTATCGCCCGATTTTTTAAGTGAGAGCTCAAGCTACCGGTCCATGTCCCCCTGCGTGGACAGTGAGGGCGAGCCGGACGTGGATGTGGAGACAAACAAAACTCCTGATGAGGAAGAGGAGGACTCCCGGCCTCTGTCCTCGGTGTGTCCTCGGACTCCTCCCGGCTTGGCTCACAGTGTTTCACCAAACGATTCAGACTCTAAGGGCATGCAGGAGAGCAGTGTGGTTGACTCCCAGAAAATGAGCCTGCACGTGGCCCAGTCCTCAGAAAGAGAACTGCACAGCAAGCAGTTATCAGAGCCCCACATAGCCGCGTCCTTTACTGAAGTGAGTGACTTCTAACTGAGAAACACTGGCGATAACACAAGCTGTAATATTTCACTAAAGTTTTCTGCGAGTGGGTTTGTTTTCCTTGCCCTGTGTGTATTTTCAAGCAGATACATCTTTGTGTCCTTTTGGGGAAATTTGTCTTTTATGTTCAAACAGTGTATAACAGCAGCAACAAACAGCATGTCCACAACATTTAGAAAAAAAATCGTACATCATTTCTTTAAATAAAAATATATGCACTTCAACTTAGAGTATATTTTTAATTACTAATTTTAGATTTTATTTTAATTCATTATTATCATTTAACAGAACCACTTGTAATGTTAAGAGCTGAAAGAAGTGGTGATTCTTTCTTCTTTAGGTTTACACACCGGAGAGGGGTGAGCTGCAACAAAGGAGCAGTCCCTATCAGTTCAGACCTACGAATTACCAGACTGGAGTACTCACAACAAATGGTTAGACATTTTTTTCTGCTTTTGTTAAAACATTTAGCTGTTTAAAAAAAAATCGAAAAGCGGGGAAATCACATCGATTTATTTTCTCTTAAGATGAGAGTGCGAGTAAAGAGGAGCCGTCTTCCACAGTGGAGGAGATCGAAACGAAATCTTTTAATGAACAAAGCAGCGAGGAGAACCAGCGAGAGCCGGACGAAGGTAAGTCACCCCGAGGTCAGCGAGGAGGATTTCTCAGTGTTGTAAGATCTGTTTTAAGACACAGGGGGTCTACTTTTCTCCAGATAGAGGAATATAATTTATTTTCTGTGTATTCAGGCGAGGACGCGCCAGCCAGAGCTCTACCATCACAAAGAAACATAGAAACTCTGGCAAAAGGTAAGACGGTGTTAGATAAAAGGATTTACTGATAAAAAAAGGCTCTTCAAATGACATTATTATTATTAGTATTATTATTATTAGTAGTAGTAGTAGTAGTAGTAGTATTATTTATAGTATTATTATTATTATCATTATTATTATTATTATTAGACTACCTACATAAGGATTCACACTTATGTTTTCAAAGGAATAATAATAAGCCTGCAGATTTAAATCCTTTCATATTGTAATTTTAGATATAAAACTAATTTCAACAACATCCCCTCACTCATCCCCATCTCCTTCCACTGTTAAGGCCTTGGTGCCAAACACTTGCAAAACAAACCCCTCTGTATTTCTGACCTGGACCCACCTTTAATTAAGAGTCACTTGTAAAACCTCACAATTTCTGATGGCATTTAAACTAAATGAGATCATTTTTTTTCTTTATATGTTTTTGCCTTGAGGCAGATGCTGAGGGATTTGTCCCAAAAAAACATGAGGGAAGATTTTTTTTTTAACTGCAGGCCCAGGAAGACCTGCTCTGAATTTTCAGTGTAAATGCTGATGATGTCCCCATCACTGTCATTAAAAATAGAAAAGCGTCCTAGAAGGAAGCTGATACAAAAGCCTTTTGTACCTCTCCTTCTCAAACCTCTATTTTTGTCTGCTTTTTAGAGGAACTACAGAAGCAGCTGTTAGAGCAAGTTGAGCTGAGGAAAAAGCTGGAACGAGAATTTCAGAACTTGAAAGGTAAGCTAAATTCTGCCACAGTGTTTTTTCCACTGATTTGGCTTTTATCACTGTATAGCAGTGATTTCACAGACCGAGACCCAAAAGTCTTTTAGGTGCATGTTAACTGTTATTCTTCTGTCATGTTTGTGATTCAGGCCAAAACATGACCTTTGTCATGCCATGACCAAACCCACCTCAAAACTGGCATGCATGAGCTCTCTCTGCAGAGCAAAAATATTTTAAATGGCACCATTCTTACAAAAATGCTAAGTGGTTCAGGGACACTCTCCCCTGGGAAAATGTGTGTTCTGAACCCCTTTTAACACTGACTTGAGAGGATTATGATTTTAACCTTATGTCCAAAAATACCCATGCATGCTTAGAAAATGGTTCTCTGTGGGCAAGGAAGTGGAATAGCAGATATTTCAGTTTAATTTACAGAAATACAAGAAGTTGTTTTAAATACATATGGACACTTTAAAAAGCTCAAATGTCAAAATCTTTAACACTGTTGTGTAATAGAGGAGGAGAATTTTGAGATTTTGTTTTACTGAAATATCAGAGTTGATATTAAGGTGTTTTGAATGCCAACACAATGGAAAAAGTTACAGAAAATTTTCATCTGCAATGCAGTCAGAACATCTGGATTTATATACATAGCCTACGTGACGCTACTTAAAATTCCAAACTGGTGCTACACAGATGATATTTCTTAATACGAAACTGAATCAAAAACTGAGTGCATCATGTAATTCTCTGGATAAAACACCACTCACTCTCTGGTTGCTACAGTATATTATTATCTGACAGTAACTCCTGAACACCCACCACCTTCTCTCCAACATGATTCAACATTTCTCACCCTCTCAGATTCTTTTTGAGAAATCTCGTATATAAAAATGGTGAATGGATACTGGTTACTAAGAACAGACCTCACTAAAACCAAAAAGAAAAAAAAAAGATTCAACACTATATCCTGAAGATTTCTAGTTGGTAAGATTTTATTTAATAGTACTAAACGTCAGATCTCCAGAAAGAGACAAACAATGTGACACGGACAAGGGTATTTAAAAAGTCTTTATCAGAATGTATAGGCCTACATTACTGACGACCAGCAAACATAATCCTGATTGGTCTTAATCAGGTTTGAGTCGAAATAAACATGATATTCCTAACGGACTGTGGGAGGATAACAGCAACTGGATACTGACAATTTGACCAGCAAAATATTTCTAACTGTTGACTGTTGTTATTTAAAACTATATATTTGCAACACCACATAGTGTATGTTGAAGTGATGAATTCAGGAAGATAACATCATTGTAATGTTTGCACATCATTGAGTTCTCTATAAATACACACCAACAAAAACGATGTAACACTCCGGGCCCTTTAAATTGTATTTTGGGGTTCTGTTATTGTCCCGTCACTTACTAACAAATCTGACATCAGTTAACAGTGATGCCTCCTTGTAAAATTGAAATCTGTGTGGTGGACCTAACTCAAATCCACAAATACATAGTTTTTCTCTGCATTTATTGTTAATATTTGGATCCAGCTTTTGGGAGTTTGGTGGACTCAAAGTATTGCTAAGACAGCACAACTGGTTGATTGGTTTATCTGTAGCCTTGGCTGTGTTCTACAATTATTACACATTTTTTATTCCAGTAAATATACTCTCTAAAGAGCCAGTGAGGTGGGTTGTCAAATGATTATATAAAATTAAATACACTGACAAAATCATATAATCTTATAGTTTTACAACATCAACAAAGATGTCCACGCAGGTTTTTCTTAGGTAATTCAAAGTCAGTTATTTTATTTACACTTTATAGGTAATTGAAACTCTCATTACTCCATTCATTCTCTTTTTCTGGAAAACGAGCAATGAGATTAAATCTTATAATAAGTATAGATAATTTACACTGGATCATTTTTCAAAAACGTCAAATCTTAATCTCCTCTTTAAAGCATTAATGTATATTTCCAAACCACAGCAGGACATAGTGTTTAGAGGCCTGGAGTTTGTAGATGGAGCCGGAGCCTGGTTTGTTGCTTTAGCTTGAGAACAGCGCCCTGTAGAGGCGAGCCACCACGTCCATGCATTGTGTGTTATCAGCGCTATGAACCTTCATCCATTTACACTCATCTTATCCTTTGGGTATTTTTAAGGTTCATATGAATATTTTTGACTAATGTCAAAGCTACAATCTCGTGTACATTATAATTTCAGTAGGGCGATGACATATGTTAAATTAACTTATTGTGTTTTTAATGGAGGCTCACCAGCCACATGACCGACTGAAATCTGTGCCTGCCATTTGTTCCTCAGATAATTTTCAAGATCAAATGAAAAGGGAACTTTCGTACAGGGAGGAGATGGTCCAGCAGCTTCACATCGTCAGAGGTGAGACAAATAAAGCAGCGGGAGCGGGTACAGCACATGCCTTCGCCTTCTGTCGCGCATTTACAGATTTACGGTGGCACCGACGTGATTGATGAAAAGTCTGTGCTCAAAAACGGTCTGTGTACACAAGTGGTGGATATGTCCGGGTTTTATCAACAAGTGTTTAAATACATGAAACAGCTTGTTGAATTCTCGTGCACTTATGCAGGAAACACTTCAAACTGAACTTGATTTTTTCCCACTATTTACCCATGATCAGTCCATAGTCATTTCTGCATATGAATTATGCAGACACAGGCCTGTAACCTAATGGACATGACAAAAAAAAGGAACATTTCTCTCAACGATTTAAACTGATCATCAGCACTCAGTGTGCACCTCACATGCTTCTTTACCACGTCTCTCTTGCGTAGACACTTTTCAGCATGAGCTGAACTTCAGTAATTGTTGTACAGTCAGATGGAGTAAAAGCCTGGGTGACATGTAGACCACATTTCTGTACCCAGAGGCCCACAGACCACCAATTAACTGCAGTACATCCAGTCTAGAGACTGTAGGTACAAGGTCGATCCAAACTTGTTTCTGGACTTTTTTTTTTTAAGAGCATGGCCTTAAATCGGTTGATCCTATTATTATGTGACTGTGTTTAACACACACGTGCTTAGTGCAAATATCCAGTCTACTGTGTGTTATATTGTGCATTAAAAGTTATATTATATGTATTGTTCAATAAGACCAGTCTACCCTCACGTACACGTACACTGTTGATGGTTTTATCTCCTTCTTCATAGAAGCTCACGACGCTTTACACCATTTCTCCTGTAAGATGTTGACTCCTCGTCACTGCACCGGGTCCTGCTCCTTCAAATCTCCTCTTCTACCACCTTGAACCAGATCACTCCACATTTCAATGACAGAGAAACACGGGACATATCCACAGCTTCTGTCAAACAGCAAAACATGGAAAACCTCCAGAGACACTCCTAGTAAAATCAAGTCGAAAGTAGACTAACTTGTAATTACTTGTAATATTTTAAAATGTGTATCTACACCATCAGCATTTATGTATCCATCCTGCATACGGTGAAATTTGTTTCCCTGAAATGATACAATTGATTATATTTATTATTTGTGGCAAAGTGCAATGACAATGTATGTATGTTGTAATAGTTCTAGGTTGTTATTTCGGTTTTCTGTTGTCTATAATAGCAGCTTTGACTAGCCAATTCATTGCTCCTTATCCTCACAGTATTGTGACTTAGCCTACTACTCTTGTTGTGTTCTTCTCTGCAGACCATTAGCTTACTTTGGATGTTATGCACTTTAAACGAGTGATGGGAATTATACATAAAAAAGCCTGTGCATTGAAATGGGCCCTGGAAATAATAATTATTCATTATAATCATTATAATTATTTGTTTTTTGCAGACTTTACAAACACAGAAGTTAGTAGGCTAAATTAGTTCATCCGCGACCTTGTAAGTAGCGACATATTCTATTAAGAGTAGCTTATTTGTTCATGTAATATTTGTTTTCATTGCTAATGAATAAATCATTTTATTAAAAGAAATTCTTTCCCTGAGCAGCTTGAACAGTCTGAAGTTGTTTTGCTCCAGACGATTTATTTGCCAGATAATCTACAAACTATTGTATAAATTAATCCACTTGTAAAATAAGAGCCTATGAATTTAGGAGCGCAGCCTCTGCCTTTGTGTGCATCACTGAGGCTAGAGCACCAAGAAGATGAGGTCCACGGGGGAAAAAAACCCTTATCTCTCCTAGGCTGCAACATAGAAAATAAATAAATTGGCCATTAAGTTTCTGCCAGTTGACTAATCAACAGTGGTAAAAGAATATCTTAAATCCTTTACTTAAATAAAAGTAGCGATACCAGAGTGTAAAAATTACAAGTAAAAGTCCTGTGTTCAAAATCCCACCTAAGTAATAGTACAAAAGTAGTTCACCATCAGCGCTATTTCAAGTAAGTAGTACTTCTTCTGCAGTAAAATGTGGACTGATATATTATCATACAATGTATTACATGAATAGATTGTTAACTGCATCAATGTGTAAACAGCATTTACTGTTGCAGCTGATCGAGATGGAGCCATTTTTAATTACTTTATATAGGCCACTGCTCGCAGCCTAGTAGGCTATATAATATGGGCCTATAGATAGACCTGTGGTTCCCAACCTTTGAATCCCCTCCAAAGTGTAAGATAATAAATGGTAGAGGAAAGAGGGGGAAAAAAGTTCTGATGTACAAATCTTATTAGTTTATTTATTTATTTTTCTGAAATATTGAGGGTTTTATCCTACCTCTTTCATCCTCAAACAATTCGGCAATTTTAGAGTTGCCTATGCGGATTGAACTGCTGACAACTCACATCTGAAATGTGAAAAGGGCCCTTGCTTTTTGTAAGTGGTTAAAAGACAGAAAGGTTGGCAACCAGTGGTTTAATCTTGGGAAAATACATTTGTGTTGTATGTTGAATCGTATCTGAAAAGTTTAAATAAACGCAGTGAAGTCAAAAGTACAATATTTCCTTCTGACATATAGTGTGGAAGTATAAAGTAGGCTATCTGATAATGGAAATGCTCAAATTAAGTACAAGTAGCTACCATAACTGTAGATTAGCAGTGCTTCGTATTTTTCGTTATCTTTCCACCACTGCTTATCAAATAATCAATTATTAGTTGCTGCCTTAGATAAACTACTTTTTCTTTATATATTTTTGTAGGAGCAGAAAAACAAAATCCCTTAAACAAATGGAATCGGATGTCAGTGGTGTGCCTATGAAGTACATTCAGCATCCAGTTGTTGTATTTGTGTGTGCTCCGGCAGCGCCCCCTGTTGTCTACTCCCGAGAAGCGACAGACTATTTTGAATCGGCTCTGTCCCTTGGGGATGGCTTTTGCGCCTGCGCAGCCAGTAAAACAAGATGGCGGAGAGTGCGGAACTGAAGGTAAAGCGAACCCCTACATTAGCTTGACAAATAGACGTTTCACACAGCGAGATTTGAATTTCAAATCATAGCATCATTGTTACTTGACAGTAGAGACCCGAGGGGTGTTGCTATCAAAGCATATAATAACAAAAAAGCACAGTGGAGTAGGCCAGACAGACTGTTAGCTGACTGGCTAGCTCGTTAGCATTAGCTTTGTTATTGTTGCCGACGCTGCGTTAGGCTGTCCCTGCTGAGCGGCTCACCTGCAGATAAGGCCACATATCTCTTCGGAAAGGACGAATGCCACAGTCATGTCAGTGTTTTGAACCCAGCGGCACTGTAGTGTTAACTACCTGACCGTATCAGTAGTTCACCGGGTGGACCGCAGTGTGTGTTAAAAACGGGCTCTGTCTATTCCCTGGATGGCAAGCGCAGTTTAGCTTCCATCAACGTTAGCGTTATTTCTGACCAGCTATGATGTTAATCCTTGATATATAGTCACTCTCCACAGCCTGGGTAAGTGTAACATTGGCCCATGTTGGTGCTAAATGTTCAAAGACATTGGTTAATGTATAATTAAGTATCTAAGTCATATAACACTAGCATCATTCAGGCGCTGTTAGCTCGTTTATGTTGTCTGCTTTCACCTGCTACAGTTTTATGATTATTATTATTAGTATTATTATTATTAAATTATTTATCAGTAGACTTAAAAAACGCATAGTCGTGAAACATTTTCGGGTTGATCGTCTCTCTTCTTAAACGAATCTTTGCACTGCTGACATTCCACCTTTACTGTTAGCTGTATTATTAAAATACACTAAACACATGAGTGTTGCAAAGTTTAAAAATGCATTTAACATACACTGAACTCATCTATTAATTATATCTAAATGCACTACTTGTATTTGGTGGTATGCAGCCAGATTTTAAGCGTCATCAGGATGTTTACTTTTACTTATAATTTACCTTTTGCAGTTCCACATTCAGTGCTAAGTAATTCGTATCTTACCTTGATTGATAATCAGAGTAGTTTGACAATTACATTTGCAATATTGGCCTCGTGATTGCAGGTTGTTTTTTTTAATACCAACCCTAAGTGTTTCACTTGTGTGTTGCCACATTGCACGCAATTTTTTACAATGAGGGACAAGAGATTATTATTATATATGGGGTGGACATGAAGATGTGATTACTGTTGTAATATAATATTACATTTTCATTGCCTCTGTGTCACAGAGGTGTCATTCCACTGCTGTGGTAATTTATAAGGCATGTGGTGTTGCTTAATTTGACTGCATCCTACAGAGTGAATGATGTTTGTTATTGTTGTTATGAATAGATAAACACTGTCTTAGATTGTATTTTGTTGTAAGATGATCTATTTCATTTTGAGAACCTCCTACAACAAAAAACAAGATCCTCTTATAGTATAATGCATTAAAATACAATCACACACTACTTTAACAAAAATTGCCAAAGCTGAATTATAATTTCTCTGACACTGTGTCAAGAAAAAGTCTGTTGTAGTGGATATCATTATTTTGTACAGATTCTCGTGTGAATATGTCCACCCTTTCACTTACAGCATGTGGTGGGGCTTTATAAATTAAGGCTTTGAAAAACTAGATTGAGTATAAGAAATGAGTGGTCTCTGCTTTTAGCCAACGGGCTATCTCTGAGTGGCTGCATTTGTTAAATATGCTGTATGATGAAGTTCATAATGTTGGTCTTTTATTGGAACAGTAGTGGGACAAAGGTCAAAGAAACTGTCATAATCTTCCTGCTTCAAGCATACGTCAAAAATGAAAATGTAAGGATTTTAATGATTTACAAAAAAAAAAAAGAATCAGACAAGCTTTAATAATAATGTCTTAAATGATGAAAAATGAGAAAAGACATCTTTCTTGGGTGTTTTCCGGGGTGTAATAGACCATTTTTCCCACTCTTCATTTTTCACCAGCAAATGGTAATGAGCCTTCGAGTTTCGGAGCTCCAGGTGTTGTTGGGGTATGCAGGGCGGAATAAGCACGGACGCAAACATGAACTTTTGACCAAAGCTCTCCACCTACTCAAGGCTGGTTGCAGTCCTGCAGTGCAGATGAAGATCAAAGAGCTCTACAGACGGCGCTTCCCAACCAAAATGGTTTCGCCAGTGGACCTAGCTCTGCCAGGTGTTCATTCTGCTTCCAGCCTGCCCGCTGGCCTTGCCCAGCTGGGATTTGACAGCCACGGTTCCCCGTCGCCTTTGCTGCCTGTTTCTTTACTTGGGCCTAAGCATGAGCTGAGTCTGCCTCACCTCCCCTCTGGCCTGCACCCTGTACACCCTGATGTCAAGCTCCAGAGACTGCCATTCTATGATGTGCTGGATGAGCTCATTAAGCCAACCAGCCTGGGTGAGTCCACTTGCTCAGCTCTGTGTCTAGTAATAAAACGTCTTCCTCCTGTTTTGTTGTTACAATACAGTGGCCAATGGGAATCTAAATTAATCTAAATCTAAGGTCATGTGCTCACTGATAGAACATTGTGACCACAGGTATCCGAACAATGACTTGTGAAAAGCATGCTCGGTAAAAGTTCAATATGAGATGACATAAGTGACTAGTGATTTAGGTTTACTCTCTGAATGTCATGTTCTGTTTCTGATTTCTTTTTCGTAGCCTCAGACAACAGTCAGCGGTTCCAGGAGGCATGTTTTGCCTTCGCATTAACACCACAGCAAGTTCAACAGATCAGCAGCTCCATGTAAGTGAGAAAGTTCTCTGGTGCAAACTGTTTTCACTTGTCAAAGGAGATGAGAGGGATCAAGAAATAATATAGTGAAAACATTGTAACTCCCCAACCCTTTTACAATTTACTGTTTACATAATTTATAAAGCAGGTCTTATGTGACACAGTAAGCAATCAAGTGCTGAGTATTAATTAAATGGTGTTTAGCTGTTCTGACCACTCATTGATTGACTTCTCTTTTTATTCTTTAGGGACATATCTGGGAACAAATGTGACTTTACTGTTCA